AAAATAGATTATTATGAAAATCATATTAATCTATTTTTAGAATTGTAGGTTTCTTTTGACAACACCCAAATACAGTATAAGGTATGAACGCAAAGTTGCGGCATTGTTATTGATAATTAGCATTGTAATTATTAATCACTTGGATTAATTTCTAATAGTTTATTTAAATTTGTGAGAAATTTGTTTATGTTCTTTAAACATGACTTTAAAGCTTAGTTCTGTAGTTCAAACTCAATCAATAGATTTAACGCTTTGAGAGATCATTCGTACCGTCCTAACATTTGATAGCCATTACTAGGTGCGAATATCTTATTTGAATCAATTTTAATAACCTATTTATACCTTTGAGCGATTCTTAATATCTACATAACATAGATATTGGCGCGATTAAGTGCGAAAGAGTTATTTGGTTTAATATTCTATCTAAATCTGTGGGTGGTACTAACATCAACAAAAGCCAACACATCATTCAGATTAATATTTGATAATTTATTGCGACTTTTCATATTGATCCATCTGCCTATAGATATATTCGTATATATTTAAGTGTAAATTATATAATTCTTTAGGTATACACTCAAATGAAGAAGCAGTAAACCATAAAAATCATTTTTCCTAATAACATTACATGATTTTTGGACCCACAGATTTGAGAGTTATAATAGCCTTGAAATAGTCTTATATTAAAGCACGTAATATATGCGTATTTTATTGAATACGTAGCAGGCAATAAAATTCTTATATTGAGTTTTTTTATAAAACAAGAATTTTTAAAAGTAAAAATTATAATTAATTATTATTAAATATAACTAGCAGAAGCGTCTGGTACTTTTGCTTTTCTTGGTCAACCAGTCCAAAGTGATGTCAAGATTTACTTGATTTTTTGCCGAAAACGAATAGCAACAAACTTCACGATTAGTGATGGATTTTAAATTCCTAATTATTGAAAAAAAATTTTAAATTTTGTATAACTATGACAATATTTGGGAAATTTTAGCACATACATTTCATCAATAATATTCTCGACGGGTAAAGCTTCTGGTAAATCGTTTTTATTACCCAAGACTAAGACTGGAATGCTTGCGAGTGGTGGCTTTTCCAGAAGGTTACGTAATTCAGTTCGTGCAGCTCCCAATTTCTCATGATCGGCGGAATCAATTACGAATCTTTTCACAAAACATTATCATTATTTTCTTCTTTTTATTTAATTTATTACTAGACCATAGATTCATGGAGTGGAAGGCTACTTACACTATTGCATTTACGCCCTGGCAATACTGTTCCCACATACTACGAAAACGTGGTTGTCCACCTACATCCCATATTTTCATATTAATATATCTCATAGTGGCTTTAC